AAGATGATAAGTGTTTTTAATGGGCAATACTTGCAGTAGTGCATCATGAGGAGGTAGACCAAAGTGTACAGATAGGTGGACTCAGTGTTGTAGGTGGAACAATGAACTAAACCTAAAAGGATTAGAATTACCTGTAAGCTTAAGGATATTAGCAAGTTTGAGAAAATTAACCCTACCTTGGCAATCAATGTGTATGGAATCAATGATGACATGAGATATACACACTACGATATTCAGATTTTGCTGAAAAGCGGGATAGAGACATTCAATTGTTGCTGATAGAAGGTGAAGGTAAAAAACTTTATTGTTGCTTAAAAATCATGTCTAGACTACTGTCTAATCAGATCTCAGATCATAACGGTATACTTGCATTTTTCTACAAGTGTTTATGCCAATGCAAAGAGGCATTGAAGGAACATAAAGAGTATTGCGTTAACCACAAGGCAGTTAAGATCGAGATGCCTGGTAAAGGAGCCTACCAAAGCTTTAAGAACCACGCCAGATCGATGAGAGTTCCTTTCGCGGTTTATGCAGACTTTGAGTGCTTTACCAAAAAAGTAGAATCCAAACCAGAGGAAACCGTTGCAGACAAACCACACAACAAAGTGTATCAACAGCATACTCGTCGTGATTTTGTAATTACATTAAATGCTTTGATGAAAGTGTTTTTACTAAGGAGCCGGTACTTTACACCATGCAAAAAGAAGGAGAAGATTTTTGTTGGAAGACTTGAGAAAGATACCAAAGCCATTTACTCCGAGAATGACTTAAAAAAAAACGATGGTAATGACGACGGAGAATAAGAGTGATTACAAGGCTGCAACATTGTGTTCCCTTTGTGACAACGCTTTAGGAGACGATAAAGTTAGAGATCACTGTCACTTTACCGGTAAGTACAGGGGCGCAGCACACAATTTGTGTAACTTGAAGAACAAGGTACCCAAGTTCATACCCGTGTATTTTCATAATTTAGCTGGGTATGACAATCACCTCTTCATTAAGAATTTGGGTGTAACAGAAGGACCAATTACATGTATTCCCAACACCGATGAGAAAAACATTTCATTCACCAACATTTGCGATTTGTAGACAGCTTTAAATTTATGAGTACAAGGTTAGAAAAATTAGTGAAAGCAACCTCTCGTGAAGATTTTAAAAATATGGAAAAAGTGTTTGGTGACCTGCCGCTAGATCCTGAATTGTACAAGGTTAACCCATCTGCCTCAGAAAACAATCGAGTCATTCAACTACGTGAAGTTATTTGATAAACGTAAAATGGAATGCATTGTGTCTCACCCTAGTAAATTTATAATTGGGAAGTCGATGCAATAATAGGGTTAAGTTGGAAAAGAATGCACAATTAACATTAATGAAGGATTACTTGTCAAAGGCTAACAAGCGAAGTGAATGTGTGATGAGGTATTACCAAAGACATAATTTTGGTAGATACTGGACTAGTGAAAAACTAGGTATTCAAAACATGAGTCAGAAAATCAGACAAACATTGTGTTCAGACATCATGTATGACATTGACATGAAAAATGTTCATCCAACTTTACTGTCATGGTTTTGTCATGAAAATGGAATCGAATGTAAAGGATTGGATGCTTATATTGAACATCGAGAATAGTACTTAGCTATTTTAATGAAACACACAGGTAAAACACGTGATGAATGTAAACAAGACTCTTTAGCCATCATTAATGGTAGACGAGTACAAAACAAGGATGATCCTGAATGGTACAAATCTTATTGTAATGGGATTAAACACATTACTGAATCCATCATTGCTTTACGACCAGACGTACACAAATTAGCTAAACAATCTAAGGAAAAGAAAGGTAAGAAAGAATACAACATTGGAGGAACTACCGTTAATTACATTATATGTTCATTAGAAAACAGAGCATTAAGGATTGCTTTTGACTACTTAACACAACAAAACATTGAAGAAGGTGCTCTTGTGTTTGATGGACTCACGGTTTACCAAAAGGATGTACCAGACGAAATGCTGCCAGAGTTACTTGAGAAATGTTCTTAATTACGATTGCTTGCATGTGTTTGGAAAATCACTTCATCAACCCATCTATCAACTGTTGCAACACGCATTGGAAAAAGGCTTCACTAAACAAGACATACGCGATTTGTTATCCGTGAAAAAAAATGTCCTCACTCTTTAATCGATGTTGTAAAAGACTTACCCCCACCACAACATCCTAGTGGTATCGAGGCCTTCTTTTATGAACAAGGATACGATGTACCAGACCCTCGACAACTGATTTCCCATCGTAAATGGTGTTTGATGATTTAATGTTATGTAAACAAAACAAGTGTGAAGATTAATACGTTCGAGGTCGACATAACAACGTGGATTGTTTCTACCTATGTCAAAATTACTTTAAACTTCCACGTCAAACGATTCGGGAAAATAGTAACTTCATTTGCTTATTTCCACAAGACCCTAAAAATCTTCAACACATTCACTGTGATCATTTCTTAGACCTCACCTTTCAAGTATTGAAACATTCTGTTATCAGTATTTGAAAGAGCCTTACGGATTTGTGACCCTGGACCTAACTAGCCCTAAAGAAAATGGTAAATACAGATCCAAATTGAAAGACTTCTGTGTCGTTAAATAAAATGGACTCCATTAAGGATTTTGAACCTTACTTTGAACTGTTTAGTCATAGTAGTAGTAGTGGTAGTAGTAGTAGTAGTAGTAGTAGTAGTAGTAGTAGTAGTAGTAGTAGTAACAATGACGATGTGTGTAACCATAACTTTGAACCGTTTGACGACAGGGTAAAACAATGTTTAACATGTGGTGATGAACAAATCTGCAGAATTTATACTGAATGCTGTTTAATAGTAATTTGTCGAAACTTAATCATAATTTAGAAAATATGGAAATGCAATGCAGTACCTGTACAAACAGGTCAAGCATGCAACATCTTTATTTTTATTTGCTAACTTAAAATGCTTTCAAAATATGCGAAAACTTAAACATCTTCATGTATTTTTATTAAAGAATTATATTTTTTTCACACATGTTTGTTGATTTCATCTACTAGATTGAGTATTTATTTTTTCCTAAAATATACTGTTATATCGTTTGTGCATTAGCGTACCATATTGATGAAAGCAAGCTTTTAAAAATAGAAATCGTTTTATATCTGGTGGTGTTCCGCGATTGCATGGTAGTGGCATTTAAAGTTGAAAAGGAAACGATGACGAGAAAACACTTAACAAACAGAAAGTTGACAGCTTATTTTACCAAACACTTACGTACCAACTTATCTTTCATCTTCAGCTTATTTCCGGAAATCGATATTTTCTTTCAATAAAATCTACTTCCTTCTTTCGCGTGACAACATGAATTGGATCACAACTAGTAATTATACGGATCTTTTTACAGATATTTTACTGTAAATATACTGAGCAATGAAATAAAAGAAGACTGTATTTACAAGTATGTTCAATGAAAACACGCTGATATACCAAAAGTTGTTCCTATCAAGATCGTTTGAAGTAATTTCCCCAAAAAACTTGATATAGTAATGATTTGTTTTTTTACAAAGTACTTAAATTCTCATTAAGCATGGTTAATATACATGTTTGCATTGCGCCACAAGTGCAAAGAAGTTAGTAACACCATTTAATAAACGCGTTTCTCCCACGATCTGAAGAGCTGAAAACAATCGATCAGCGCGTTATAAAAAAAGAATTAATCGCTGACAAATTCGAAAATTAAATGTACATGTATGTACGATAATACTACGCTTCAAAGTGTATTTTTTGAAATTTACACTTATCATAGATCAACGTGTTTAAGTTAAGGCTTCACGCTATCAGAGACCAATGAACGGAGATGGTTTATGCTCAAAGTACTCGCATCTGACGTCCGGTCAAAATGGGAACATCATATTCGATGCCTCGTGTAGAGAGAGTGCATATAAAGAACCCTTGCAACAACTGTTTGAGGGGTCAGTAGGTGGACTGTTGCAAGGCAAAATGTCTGCCCCTATCCAATATACCATAATTTTTTATTGGCATTCAAAAGTTCCATCACCCATCATCCCGGACGGCCTCTACTACAGGACCTACCTATTATATTTATTGTTAATGTGTTCCCGTCCTGAATATGCATACAATATTTGCCACTGGACGTTTATCAATTAACAATTAATTAAAGTACACGCCATGCTCACTAAGACAATTACCATTCGAGGGTTTTGATCATGTACGAGTATATAACAATAAGGAGATGTAGTATGATTGTCATTATGAAAATAAGGAGATGTGGTATGATTGCCAATTAGACAACTATCCACCAAAATTCAAATGAAGTGGATGTAAGCAATTATAGGCAACTGTACGGACTTCAACAATGAGAAAAACCCATACCGTATGGTCGGCTATAAAAGGCCCCGACATGAAAAATATGAAACAATTTAATTGAGAAAACTATCGGCCTAACTTATAACAAAACAATTTACGAAAAACAAATATGACAGACATGAATCAACGACAACAACTGAACTACAGGCTTCTGACTTGGGACAGGCACATAAAGAATGTGGCGGGGTTAAACATGTTTGTGAGCGCTCAACCCTCCCCTAACCTGGGACAGTGGTGTAACAGTACAACATAAGAAAAAACTATAAAAATCAGTTGAAAAAGGCTTAACTCATCAGATGGATACAAATAGAAATACATCTAACAAAAACACAGATAGGACGTGGACGGGTACCTATACATCCCCACAACAAAAAGACACTAAGTACAGATCTGAGAGTACTCGCAGTTACTGACAGCTAGTTCAAAGCCAATACAACTAATAAAAAAAAAATCATGTATCTAAGACTAAAATACCAATCAGTACACATCCAACATCCAATGGATTTAGTGTAAAGACGTCATAAACAGTCAGAGAAAAACATGACCTTGTGCAATGCCAAACTATAGGTATCGACAGATTGTAGTACCATGAAAGTACACATGTGTAATATTTAGTATGGTTTTAATTTACCGATAACAAAATCAATATTTATTCCAATAAAAACTATATTCAAAGATTTAATTACAGTTTTGAATAGGTAACCTTTTAGAATAATTTTATTTAAAGGATTGATAAGTTTACCCGGATCGTATCTAAATTTCCGGGCTCGGTTTACAACATCACCGTAAAATTTAGGATGTGCTATTCCGTTTGAAATAAGACAATTATCCACCACAGACCAAATTACACGGATGTAAGTAAAAAGTAAAATAACAAAAATACCGAACTCCAGGGAAAATTCAAAACGGAAAGTCCCTTATCATTCCCATGGTAACCTTTATGTCTAAATATATGATAAACGGGACAACTTTTATACTTTTCTCTTTTAATTTTGTTTCTTGACGGTGGTGTTTCATCCGCTTCTTTTTATTCAAACGAGGGAGGGGGATAATAAAACACATAAGTCGGAGATAATCGACACCATTATGGCCAAACGAAAAACGACAAAAGCAAAGACATGCTACAAAACATATAAAACTTACAAAAAAATAAATTTGCATGCAAAACGAATAAATTAAAAAAAAAACCAACATACACGAATGAGTCAATCGTTCAGTCACCGAGTATAACGTATTAACGATTGAACAGACAGTTGTATATGATACTATCAGTTTAATGTGCAATGATATGTTCATTACAATAATGGACAATGAAAAAAATGGCGTTACGGATTTTGAATTAAAGTGGTGTAATGTAACTTATTAGAATGTAAATGTATCATGGGAAATATTTGTTAAAACTTTTGACAGATGTAAATTGATAAGGAGCATTTTGTTATAGAACATTTCTGTTTAACGATATAAAAGAATATTTTATAAATACTATTGCAATTATTTTTGGTGGTTGGTAAAAAAAGTCGTATATCTAGATTCGTTCCGGGTCATCGACTTGAAACGGAAATGAAACACATTTCCTTATTAAGTTTAAATAATCAACATTCTTTGTATTATAATAGTTTGTGAATTGATCTGAGGGTAAATTTTATTGATTGAGTTCCAGTGTATTTTTAGTTCATTAAATTATTTCGAATTTTGACATGAATCGAATTTGGACTTTTGATTTCTCCGTTCGCAGAAGAAGTCCTTAATCGAATATTCATCAGGGCAGGAAAGCTGTATTTACAATAGAGTAAAACATTAAACTATTGATAACATTAATTAAAAAAAAACATCATGTAAATGAAAAGATAAACATCAAAAAGCTGTATCGTGCAAAACTCAAAAAAAAGTAAAACATTGTTTACATGACAGTAGTACACTCTTTCTATCTCTTGATAACAAAATGACCAAGGTGTGCACTTTAACACTAACTCTAGATTAAATTTTTTTCTCTCTCTCTCACTCACACACACACACACACACACACACACACACACACACACACACAAACACACACATGACTTATAAAAGTATTCGAAATCAAAAATGACCCAGCAGATCTTCCTGTGTTTTATTGCTGATCTTTATAGTTAAGGCGTGACTGACATACAAGCAATATTATCATCTGAAAGAGGAACTTCGGGTATTTAGAGTCAGATTGATCTGACTTTTTGAAATACTTAGTGTGAGGGTCTGGATTGGGATGTCTTCATTTTTATGTTCATTAGTTTTTAGGCCTTTTATCTCTATTCCTTTATTTTTGCTGTCAAGTTGTTCCACAACTTTTTTATATGTTAGTTTCCCATTATTCTCTTCTATGTTAACCCTATCCAGATCCTCTATCATTTTTGTGAATGTACAAGTCATACACTTCAAACTGTTAAAAGAAATATTTCTATATTCAAACATGTTTAAAACAATAATCGAGTAAAAAAATCAGTTTTAAAGAGGTTATTCATCTGAGCTATCTGGTAATGGATCAGCTTTCCTTGTGAAATCTATATCAACATAGTCAGTCCTGTTTTCAGCTCCAATGATACGACGTCGATCTTTTGGCTTCCTTGTGAATGATACTTCTATGTATGTCAAACCATCCTGATTTTTGCTCTTAAAATAAAAGTTGAAATCACTCATAAGATCAACGTATAATTTAGGTCCTTGATAATGTTGATACTGTACTTAGAAATAGTTAAATATTCAACTGCATTTTGTCAAATTTATGAGTGCATACTTAAACTAACACTTCCTTGGTTTTTAAGTTAAACTTATATCATTCTCATTAAATAAGACAAAAATACATAAAAAAAGCCAATACTACGCCAAATGTCATTAAGTTAATAAAGATGTTTTAAAAGAGATATAAAGAACAGAATTTGTATGCACGAATGGTTCCCATCACATATGATTGCATTACTAATAATTAATTACAGTAATTGAATGAAATGCTTTTCTAAGTCAAAACAATTTTATTAGGACTGATGGTTTATGTTAATAATAGTACACACGTATATCAATTTGAGTAAGACAAAGACTTATTTATTATCCATTTAAAGACTATTAACTTAATTCCTAAATCTCCCAACCAAGTACCCGACCTGTTGTTTTACGAGAGGTGTTTTCTGGGATCATTTTTTTATGATTTTATTGACAATATTTTTTTTTTTATAAAAAATAACATACAGGAACAAGAATAGTTTTTTGTAACTCAATATCGTATTTGTTTTTATCTCTAATTTTCTATTCACTTCCCTTCTGATACAAATTTTTTATTCAAGAAGTTAACAATCAATCAATCTATTAAAACATGCTCTTATTAAGCATTGACAAAACGTGAACAACTACTTATTTCAACACGTCATTGTCAATAAAAAAGCTGTAAAATATGTTGTGCTAGGATGTATAATTCGTAGTTGTTTTATCAAAACGTGGCTATACAATTTTCTTACTTTTTAAAGCATACATGTAAATATGTTAAAACCAGTGTGCAAGTATTATTTTCTACACGTAATATAGGATTTTTTTTGTACACAAGAAAGACAAACTGCAAAGAAAAACATATATAAATTTAAACAAACCCGTCCAGATGGCTTTGCTTTCAACGGTTGATGTATAAGCAAATCTGCATCGCCTTGATTTGAATATACATTGTCGTTCTCTGTGTAATCTATCTCTAAAAAGATGATTAAAAATGAAATGTTAATGATATTTGCATGGTAAATAGAATATGTGTGTATTATGACACAAGCAACCTTGCAAGAAAAAGTATTCGAAAGTAGACATCGAAGGTAGGTTATGGTTTGGGTTCTATTTTAACTAATCAAAATGTTGATCAAGTATATACTTCATCCAATGCCGGACATAGCATTCTAAAAAATAAAAGAAGCACATCTTTTGAGTGGATACACTCGGTTGCAAACTAGCAGGTTTTCATGAGCAACACGACGGGTGCCACATGAGTAGCAGGTTCTGCTTACCCTTCCGGAGCAACCGAGATCACCCTCGGGGTTCGTGTTGCCCAATCATTGGTTTTCTATGTTGTGTTTTGTATCTGTTGTTTGTCTTTTGGTCATTTGTTTTTGCCATAGCAATGTCAGTTTATTTCTAACTTTTGAGTTTGAATGTCCCTTTGGTATCTTTCGCCTCTCCTTTATGGTTTGGGGTCTATTTTAACTAATCAAAATGTTGATCAAGATAATACTTCATCCAATGCTAATCATAGCATTCTGAAAACTAATAGAAGCACAAGTTGTGAAGAGACACACTCGTTTGAAGTAACACAACATGTTTAACCCCGCCACATTTTTGCGTCTTTCCCAAGTCAGGAACCTCTAGCCTTTGTTAGTCTTGTGTGTTTTTTTAAATTTTGGTTCATTCGTATGTTTCGGAGTTTAGTGTGGCGTCCATTTCGCTGAACTATATGCATTATTATTTAGGGACCAGCTGAAATCAGCCTCCGGATGCGGGATTTTCTCGCTGGTTGAAGACAAATTGGTAGTCTTGGGCTGTTTTCTGCTCTTTGGTCGGGTTCATGTCTCTTTAACACATTCCCCGTTTCCATTCTCTATTCTATTAGTATTTTAAGAAAATGACAACTGACCACACTATCGATTGTGATCGTTCACAAATCTACACACTAATACTACACAATAAATTATCTTTATATTTCTATTTCTGAGCATACATAGCTAACTGTTCCAAAACTGATCCTAACGATGAGCATACTAGTTCGAAAAATTAATCATCGTCAAAATTAGGGTGAAGAAACATTGGCTATAGCTTGTTTTTTATTTGATTTAAATTCAACATGAACAAATGTAGATAGCTTACTTTTATTTGATTTGTCTACAACTGCATATTCATCATTAGCTGTTTCAATTTCGTCTTCTGAATAACAATAAAATAGTAAATCGAAGTATTATGCCTACCCCTCCCCCCCCCCCCCCCCCCCCCCCAAAAAAAAGAAACAGAAAAGGAGAAAGAAAGTCGAAATGATATCATTTAATATGACATTTGTGATGTACATTTAGAGACATCATTAACTATTTGGTTTCCAGAAAAAAGTATGATGAGGGTTTTTAATGAAGTTTTAAAAATTAGATCAAATACCCATCTATGTCCGTTTGGTCTTAAAGTTTAAGGATAGTTGTTTCATTAAAAATCATACCACATCGCCTTTTTTTTATTGTATGCATTTCTATGTACATTTATATTGTTTAAAAAAATGTAAAACTAATTATCTAATTTGCACAAGGTTTTCCTAATATAAAACAAGGGTAAAGTAAACAAGGAATGATAGTAGCCATTGGTAAAAGTGATTCCCAACAGTTTATCACAGAAGCCGAGGTACAAATTAAAGACGAATGTACCCAATTCTGAATCCAAACCATATAATTTTAAATTTATGTTTATGTTCGATTATTTGCCAACTGACAACTGACAAAGATTTAATAGGGGGTTTGTTATCATATAAGATTATTCCGGCACATATTCATATTCCTGTCACAAAGTTAGGAATCTCATCTGATTCAGTAGTTGTCTTATGTCATATCTTCATATTTTTGCTATTTTGAAAATTATCAGATGATGGCAGATATTTGATTGTTTCTGCTAAATTCATTCACAGTTTTAATAGACTTGGGACGATTAAGGACTTGTCACATTGTATAGACAGCAATCTGCTGATGATAAATGTTTTTTGCCCTCTAGAAATCTTGATGATACTTTGTCGTTGGGTTGCTGTCTGATTGATACACCTTATATTTCCTTTTATTTAGTTTTGGGTTGTGTTTCGGACATGTAATCGATGATGACTTTGGAGCTATTTACTATTTTCAATTCAATGTTTAAACTAAAGATATTGTTAATTGTTTCCTGTTCAGCTTGATGGAATGAAATTTGTTTGACACAGTGATTTTTTCGAACATTTCTAGTAAAATTATCCAGTATTCCCCGTTTTGTTATTTATCAAGGTACTATATGTCAAAAAGGTAATTGATAAAATGATTGGTTGTAACTTCTCCCAAAAATTTGTACCACATCATATACACTTTAGACATTATACGTAAAGGATATAAGCCGATAACAGGTCATTCTGTAAAATATTGGACAGGTCTGAGGCCGCAGGCCGAAAACCTGTTCAATATTTTATAGAATCCTTTGTACTCACAATAACTATTCAATGTTCTCATGCTGGTATTTAATAAACTAAGACCGTCTTAGAAGTACTGTTATTTATTATCCGATAATACCATAATGTTTAAATAAAATACAAATCATTAAGACAATCCAAAAAAGCCATCTTACACATAACATTATCATGATTATACGCTTTCCATAGCAGTAAATACAGGAAAAGTTATGGAAAAAAACCTCTTCAAACATACCAAGTTTTGTGCGCCTGACGCGCGTTTCTTCTACATAAGAATAACCGGTGATGCTCGAATTAAAACAGTCTCAAAACCAAATAAATAACAACGCAACCAAAAACAGAATATCTGTGTGACTTACCTTTGTAATGTACCTTTTTAGATTTGGATTTGGATTTAGCAACAGAAGCATATTCCGCATTTGCAGGTTCATTAGAATCCTCGTTTTCGTTTTCTACATGAGGAAAAAGAATAAAAAATACAACGTTCCTCACCTTAAATAACATAAAATTATGCAATGCATACATGTAGAATCGACTATTTCAGAGATGAGGACAAAAAGCTATATCTAGAAATAACTATTACACGCCAATTAGTAATACCTATTAAGTTGCTGCGGTTTTTCATCATTTACTCTGACCTACTTTATATTCATTCTGTACTAAAAAACAAAAATCTGTAGAATTTCAAATTAGCATTGCCAGTTCAAATTTTTCAACACAATTTCATATTATTAACTAGAGGCTCTCAGGAGCCTGTGTTGCTCACCTGTATATGTGTTCTTACCGTGGTAAAAATCCAAAAGCATTAAATATGCCTTTTTCATTTAAGAGTTCCACTTTATCTTAATACCACAAAAAAAAATATATCACAAAAAAGTCCAATAAATACCATCAAAAATTGGACACTTAAAATATAGTCTTCATACTAATAAATTTAAAAGCATGGTTCAAATATTTCTTATTCAAGGCCTATAATATATCTAATTTTATCATGTTTAAAATATTTTATACATTGAATTTATTCTACTTTTCAAGATTTGTAATCATATCTAAAGGTAACACAGTCAAACTAAAAAAAAATTGACATGGATTCCTCTTACCTGGGTTAACCTGATGGGTCGGGGGGCATGGTAAGAATTCTTAAAAGAACATATAATGAAGGTTAATACCACACATGCAGTAATAAAATACTGTTTAAAGAACAAAATAATGGCTTTTGTGTATACCAAGGTCTATAACATGACAAAAAGAAAAATACTGTTGAAAGTCTAAAAATGAAGCTTTATTGAATCCACCAAGGCCGGTATAAAGTTGAAAATGCCTTAAAATGTTTCTTTGAAGCACCCTTTAAACAAAATTGGGCAGGGGTTCCCCCGACCTCGGCTAACCCACCAGGTCTGGGGGGCATTCACCCAATATAAGTATGCTGAAATTATATGCTATCAATTCCATTTTGCCCAGTAGATTAAGAGGAGAAGATTTTTTTTAAAAGATAACAAGGATTTAAAATTAAAAAAAAAAAATGTTTGTGACTTTGAAGCGCAATAACCCCTTAAGAGGTCAATTGACAATTTTGGTGATGTGACTTGTTTGTAGATCTTACTTTACTGAACATTCTTGTTGTTTACAGTTTATCTCAATCTATTATAATATTCAAGATAATAACCAAAAACTGCAAAATGTCCTTAAAATTACCAATTCAGGGGCAGCAACCCAACAACGGGTTGTCTAATTCGTCTGAAAATTTCAAGCCAGATAGATCTTGACCTGATGATTATTTTTACTCGTGTTAGATTTGCTGTAAATGCTTTTGTTTCAGAGATATGAGCAAAAAACTGCATTTTACCCCTATGTTTTTTTTTAGCCATGGTGGCTATTTTGGTAGGTGGACGCGTTCATCGGATACATTTTTTAGACTAGATACCCTAAAGATAATTTAGGCTAAGTTTCGTTTAACTTGGCCCAGTAGTTTCAGAGGAGATTTTGTAAAAGATTACAAAAATTTACGAAAAATTATGAAAGATTGACTTTAAAGGGCAATAACTCCTTAAGGGGTCAATTGACAATTTTGGTCATTTGACTTATTTTTAGATCTTACTTTGCTGAACATTTTTGCTGTTAACAGTTTATCTCTATCTATAATAATATTCAAGATAATAACCAAAAACTGCAAAATTTCCTTACAATTACCAATTCAAGGGCAGCAACCCAACAAGGGGTTGTTTGATTCGTCTGAAAATTTCATGGAAGATAGATTTTGAACTGATGAACATTTTTATTGATGTCAGATTTGCTCTAAATGCTTTAGTTTTAGAGATATAAGCCAAAAACTGCCAATGTTCTATTTTTAGACATGGCGGCCATCTTGGTTGGTGGGTGGGATCTTCGTATATATTTTTTAAACTAGATACCCTAAGGAGGATTTAGGGCAAGTTTGGTTCAATTTGGCCCAGTAGTTTCAGAGGAGAAGATTTTTGTAAAAATTAACGGACGACAACGGACGACGACGGACGCTAAGTGTTGAGAAAAGCTCACTTGACCCTAAGGGTCAGGTGAGCTAAAAAAGAATTCGTCTGTACCTTATGTAAAATATATAAAAAAAATGCTTCACATAGCTGAAGATTTAATCAAGACCAAATGGTCTGATATTTTGTTTTTGTTTCTCGTTTTTATAAATAAAACAAAATCTTTAGCATAATCTTTATTAGCTAAATCTATACATGTTATTATACGTATTTAGTTTGAAAAGACAAAAGTATTTAATAGTAGTAGGACAAATTTTTACTTGTTCGATTACTAGTATTAAACATTAACCTGGATTTTGATTTGATTTTAATTGATATATCCCTTTTCCTTGTCTTTCGCAATGACTTTGTTTAGAAAGAAAGGATTTTACAATTACCTCACAACTCCACCATGCTTTGTTGTCTTGAAGTAACACCGTTTTTAAGCACCCCGGCAATACTCAGACTTGTCTTTTTGGGTTTGGTATGTATGCTTATATTATTTTAGGTTCACGTCTAAATAAAGGCAACAGTAGTATACCGGTGTTCAAAAGTCATAAATCGATTGAGAGAAAACAAATCCGGGTTACAAACCAAAACCGAGGGATAAGAGGAAAACAAAGGAACAACAGGAACACCGAAGTGCAACAAAAACAAACGCCAACACACATAGAAACAAACTATTTGATAACAACTGCCATATTCCTGACTTGGTACAGGACATTTTAAGAAAAAATGGTGGGTTGAACCTGGTTTCATGGCATGCCAAACCTCCCGCTTTATGGCAATGTTATAAAATATCGCAAAAATACTACGTGACAGAAATACAACACAAACACACACAAGAACATTCATAACAGAGAAACGCACAAACAAATAAAATAATAGTCGACACAACATGCAAACCACAGAACAACAACGAACATATTCCATCAACAAAAAACATCACCGGATATCAAAAACAGTGACGCGCTTACGTAACTAACATGCAATCTCGAACTTTATACAATTATTTTCACAATATTCGTCCAAACAATTTTCATGACAATAATGGTATGGAAAGGCAATTTTATAATTATTTGGACTACAAACGATAAGACATAACAGATTGTCCAACCGAAACCATAACAGAAACATCAAAATAAATAAATTAATGTTGGATGTACAAAACACCGAGACACGCCACACAGCAATGCAAATTCACATTCAGTATCACAGTCATATTCGAGAATATGACAATGATGGTTTTGAAAGGCAATTTCATAATTATTTGGACAACAAACGATACGACATAACACATTATTCAACTAAAACCATAACAAACACATCAAAAATAAATATATGAATGTTGGATGTACAAAATACCGAAACACGTCGTATAGCAATGTAAATTCACTCTCGGTATTACAGTCATATTCGGGAATAAGTCACGTTCGGTACTTAGCAGACAGACGACATAGATGTTAAACCACAATCTAAGACGTGGTAAAAATGTCATTAGTTAGTTAAGACACAGACACATCGTATAGATCAACTAATTCGTGATGGTGTCAATAACATTTACGGAGTGTCATTTTCAATCTTTCCTCCTCATACCTCTGTTTGAGCAGTTTCTGCGTAAGGAGCACACTCCTGTATATGAAGTCAGTATAGTGTGAAAATGCACGAGCATAACGTATCAATTGAGATATGTACACACCATACGACGGAGCAGAGGGTATGTAACTGCAGAGAAATGGGAAATTGATAATTGGGAAGTTGAAATCATCCCGTTTGTCATAGATTTTATTGTGAAGTCGTCCATCTGTGTCAATATTGAGGAAAAGATCAAGGTATGAAACAGTACTTCTTGTATCAGTAGTATCCTTAATTTCAATTTCACTGGGATATATGAGATGCAAGTACTGACTGAAATATGGGTTATTCAGTGATAGGACATCATCAATATATCTGAAAGTAAAATTAAAGAACTTTGCAAGGTGCTTTTTCTTTTTGTCTTTTAGAAGGTTTTGAACGAACTCTGCTTCATACGAGTACAAAAACAAGTCGGCCAGAAGGGGTGCACAATGAGTACCCATTGGAATATCGACTGTCTGTTGAAATATCAATCCTCCAAACTCAACAAATATATTGTCGATTAAAAAGTCCAGCATTTTGATAATATCGTCTTCACTGTATTTTCTGATAGAATCAGTGTGGTTCTTCACAAAATAAGAATTATTATAACCCAAAACAAGAAGAAATTTATATCTACGATTCCCATTTTTATAGAAAAAGCTCTGTTTAATGAGATGGTGAAGTCGATCTTTCAATTGAGCATGGGGAATAGTAGTGTAAAGCGTAGAAAAATCAAAGTTCTTAATGTTGCTGCAAAATTGCAGTGACTGTGATCTGAGATTTAGCAGTAGATCTTTAGAATTTTTGAGAGTCCACATCTGAGTGACACCACGGGTTGGATATATCTCATCACAATATTTTTGAAGGCTGTCTTTTACTGTAGAAAGAAAAGTAGTCAACACTTCAAAAAGATGTTTAGTCGAACATCTTGATGATCCACTATGTATCATTCTTTATACAGAGTTTTATGAAGTTTTGGTATCCAGTATAATGACGATAGATTTTCTTCGTTTTCTTTAATGCTAATGCCAAATGAAAGAAGGACAGATTTGTGATTTGGTAAAATTTCATCCTTTGTAAATGATGTTAAAGAATATGTAGGATTACCAGTTGTGCTGTTTATTCCAAGCTCTTCTGTGAGGCATTGCAAATAATGGTTTTTACAATATTATTGGAGGCTTTATCTGCTGGAACAACGACATACTTGTCATGCAAAGAGGATAAAGCATCCACAACCTCCGGGTTCTTGAATGGGTTAGAAACCCTTGTGCTCATAGTACATCGTAGCTTCTGAATGCGCTTCTGAATGCATGATCGCATAGCTTTGATCCATTCAGACAAAGTGTCCAGTTCTGGTTCGTCTGGTTTGCGCTTTACCCATTTTCTAGCTGTCTTCATCTTCAACTGCATCCATCAGTAACCTGAAGTTCATTTTCCAGTTGATGAGCTTGGGAACTCTGTATTTTGGTCCCTTGGCTAACAACTCTCTTAGTTGTTCATTGGTAACGATGCCAAGGTCGCCAGTAATAACATGACCAGCTGGACTATAATTGTATTTTGACGATGCACATGAGCAATCCGGAGGTTTGGATTTTACATCTTTGAGGTTAAAGGCCTCTAAAACCCTCTTATGGTTGAAAATCTTGGATGCAATAGACTTGGTGTAAGTATATGAAATTACAGGTGTAGCTTTATTTTTGAAGTAATCAGGTATAGTTTTTTGTACACCTTTCTGGTGGAAAATATTGCTAATATTGATAGCATCTAAACCTTTATTGGCGAATTCTACTTTAAAAAAAATACGTTTTTCCTCATTTTTGGAAGTAGTTGTTACGGGTTTGAATAGTCTATGGTTAGCAATGTCCATGATTATTGAAACTAATATATACAAAACAGAATTAGAATCAATGACGGAAGTATTTTGGGCCTCTTGAAATAGTAAATAAAGTTTAGATAATGGAATGGAGTATAATTTAGTTCTGATATGGTGAATGCCTAAAGGTTTTTTAAACAGACGATAACAGGCTATCAATTGTCACGGTGTGAACAGCAGGTGGTGTATAATTTCTGTGACCATGACTTCTATTTCTACGTGCAGAAGTGTTAAACAATTGTAATTTATTGACAGTACTACACCTGGGACTAGACAAAATACCTACACCATCAATTTTGTCATTGTATCCATAGGGAATGGCTGTTCCCAACTCTCTTATCCAAAAGTCTTCTCTTGTAGACGATATGGTGTACTCAATATGGGGTCATTTGTTGTATGATATATTTTCTCTATAATCCAGACTTTCATTGAAACAATAGAATGGTCAGGGTATCAGATATTAGTATATCGCAGGTTTTACAATTTTTACGGGTACATTTTGAAATAGAGCAATGTTGTAAGCTATCATTGAAATCTAAAATATCTGAAAGTTGAACAGTACATGGCCGAATATAAACAAACATGTCTGAATTTTTATAGTACAATGAGGAATCAGAAGACTGCACATGTGTCGTTTTCATAACATCCTTTAAGATCATCCTGGGGACACCTGATAAAATCGGTGTTGTTGTGTCCTTGACAACATCCGATTGACACCTTTTTATCCTGGGCGACGTGTCATCCAGTATAATATTATTTATTCTACTTGTATTCATGCTGTTAGGCTACCGGACTGGTAGAATCCTCGGGGACAGACAGTCCACCAGAAGAGATTCCGATCCGGTGGTGATAAATAAAGGCAACAGTAGTATACCGGTGTTCAAAAGTCATAAATCGATTGAGAGAAAACAAATCCGGGTTACAAACCAAAACCGAGGGAAACACATCAACTATAAAAGGAAAACAAAGGAACAACAGGAACACCGAAGTGCAACAAAAACAAACGCCAACACACATAGAAACAAACTAAAACCATGAAGATAAATCACTACGATCCGACAGCACAACTAGAGTCGACCGATATCAATAAAGTATATAATCAGGCTGTATTTAAAACTGCAATATACTAGTGCTGTTTGAAAATTTCAAAATATAGAAGTTACAATTATTTTACTTTGATAGTTACACGGATTTCGCCATTTGATTTTCTGTTGTATCTGATTAACTGCTGCATACAACACATTGCTTTCTGTTGATTCTAAAATTATATTTTAAGAAATTTATGTTTCTATTTTTTTACTATGATTAAATTATAGACATACATATTATTGTTGGTTGACAGGTCAGACGAGAGTTTCATCAGGTTAACTTCGCAATTCCATTAGATAATTTGAAGTTGACCTTAACATAATATTAGCTATGCTGTTTAAACCTGTGTTAAGTTGTCCGCGTTGAAATAGATACCATACGTTGACATGAAGATTTTGGTCTTAGTGTATTAAGTACATTTGCTGTCTTCGCAATGTACAGCTACAGGATATTGGAGATATATAACCTGGCCTGGTAATCACTGAAAACAAATGTATGCCTTATACAGGCATTACATTAATATTTTGCCCCTAAAAAGAGAGAAAATAATTGTGCACAAAAGTGAAAATAAAGTAGCCGCGTGAATTTATTATGCCAAACAAGCAACAGGTGAAAACTAGAGGTACTGTGAGTTAAGCTCACATAAAAAAAAACCCGCCCCTTTGAAAGTCCATGTTTTTGCAAGGTAAACCCACAATTTTATTGAGACAAAAACCAAAAAGGAAATGAACAATAGCATAATACGGTTATCATTGTGAGAATGTTTAAATAAATTGTAATAAGCGATTTAGGAAGAGTTGGGATACAAAATGGGTTACCCCAAAATCCAACAATGGCATTTGTAACGGAAACCCCCGAAATTATTCTAATCAATATAGAAAATAAGAGGCACATAATTCCATTATGTCATGACGAATCCGCGAAAATTTGATTGTAATCCATTCACTGGTTTGGGAGGAGTTGCGGATGGGGGATGTTAACCCCATAATATGAAAGGGCAAAGTCCATGTTTGTGTATGGAAAACACAAAAAATCATTCTGATCAAATAGTAAAATACAAGGTGCACAATGGTATAATAACACGAAAAATCCGTGAAAGTTTGATTACAATCCTTTTGAAAAAAGAGGGATGATGCTTAAAATACTAATTACTCTGCCCTATCGCATATGCCTCATAAAAGTCAAAGGCCTCCTCAGTGTTTTCTTTATTTCTAGCTGGTTGTTATTGTCCTTTAAACAATATCCTGCGGTTGGTGACAATATCACTAGACTCAAGTCTTTTCCTGGTGTAAAGCATATGTTAAACTTTCAGACAATTTATACTATTGAAGATATGTAGCTGCTTCGAAATTGTTTCTGTGGTTTTTTTTTTGCAACAGTTAGATTGTCATCATATTTCCTATTCCTCATAATTTAAATATAGTATAGTTTAGTAACATACCGCTTTTGGTGCCTCTATTCCTTCTGCTGCAAAACACATATAGAGAAGTAACTATTATAAGTATAACTGCAATACCACATCCAATACCAACTAATATCCCGGGCATGGAAGCTGATTTTGAAGGCGATTTAACGGTAGGTTCCACTGAAATATAGACGGAAAAGGGAATAAAAAAGTTTAAATGTACATACAAGTATAAATCATGATTATTCTATTGTTCTATCAATGTCATAATAAAATATTTAACTGAATGTATGCCTTGTTGATAAGTATTATAGGAACACGATTAAACGAGTATCTGTTATAAAATGTTTCCCTGAAATTAATAACATTCAACCCATAACGTTACGATATACAAACAAGGAGATGTGTACACAAATGTATTATTGCCAATGAAACAATTATCCACCAAAGTCCAAATGAGATAGATTCGAGCAACTGTAAGTCACAATAGACAATGAGCTAAACCCTCATTCTATAGTCAGCCATAAAAGGCAAAGACATGACAAAATTTCAAATAATTCAAACAAGAAAACAACAAATGAAAAACAATTGGACAGACAAAATCAAACGACAACTACCGAATTACAAGCCCCTGACTTGGACATGAATGGGGTTAATCATGTTTGTGAGTTCTACATTTACATTGGAAGTATTGAACTGATCTTAGAGAGCTAGCAGTTACTGAAAGATTGTTCAAAGCAAATTACAACTTATAAATAAACTAATGAAAGTTCTCCAAGACTTAAGTATCAATCTGTACACATCTAACGAATTTAGTTTACATATCCAAAAAAATGGAATCATTTAGTTGACATACTTGACACACAGGCCTACATAAATAGTAATATTATCCGAATATTCATTAACTCATCTGAGATTGGTGGTATCTAATTCTGAATTTGCAGCATATTTATTTGTGTAATGGCCATGTAGACTTGTATCATGACATAAATGCTGTGGTGAAGCAGCACTTGATATGCTCGTCTTTTTTTTTTTAGATTTGTTTCAAAACAGATTACTAGGCTAAACACAACGTTGTACTAATATCATTTCTCATGAAAACAGTATTAGCTGAGACAACTAAATGATATTTCATAAAAATAAGGTAAAGCGACATGTCTGCAAACGAGACACGCCTTTGTAAATGTGTTTTCTTGAAGATTTCAAAATGTTGTTTGATCTGGTTCGACTTTGTAATCCTTTACATTCAATAGGTGTTTATGATTTTTTTTTCTAGATTAATGTTTTTCTCACTTAGTACATGTAGTACATGTAAAAATAAAGGAAAATATACACCAAACATATCTCTGTATGGTGATATTGGCTGGATCTCATGCAATGTAAAGCAATGGACAGCCTTTTTTAGATTATGAACTAGATTTTGTAAAATGGACAATGAAAGAATTAATAAACGAGTATTTATGCGGTCGTATAAGTATGGAAAAAAGCAACTAAAATTGGTGCTTCAGAGTAATGACTTAGTTTAAGGAATATAGTCTTAAACCATACAGTAATTGTGATATATTGTTAACAAAAAATGTTATTACGGATATAGCACACTTAGCTATTGATTTATATAAAGATGAATGGTATAATTAGTTGGGTTCGAATGAATATGCCAAGCTACGTATTTTTAAATAGTGTAAAACAGAGTTTACGGTAGAAAATTATATTTATAAAACATATTGCAGGGAAATATAGAAGCGCTTTTGGAAAATCGCTGTGGTGTTTCGCCCCTAAAAATGGAAACGGGCATGTATCAGAACTTACCCATTAATAAAAGAAATTGCTTTAATTGTAAAGATAATGTTATTGAAGATGGGATACATGAGATTGTTAGTTGTCCGTTATAATTATGCAGATTAATGTGCTGTTTTGTTTAGTCATGCTTATTCTTTTGTCATGATTTTTATAACATGTCAGAAAACAATAAATTTGTATTTTTATTTAGTGATGAAAATTTCTACTATGATATTTTATTGAAAAGAAAATATTTACCTAATTTTTAAAATCTACATTTTTATTATGTTTTATGCTCATTATTGTTTGTGTATGTTATTACCGATAAACAAATTTAAATCCCTAAAAGAAACAAAGATATTACAAAACAAAGCAACAAGGAAAAGATAAAACAGCCTATAAACAAAAATGAAACCTAAGCGAAAAAATATTATTCCGGTTGGTGAGCTTACCTTTTGTTTTGAATTCAAGTGATGCATTCCGTTTCCCATGTTTGTTTGTTGACAAAACCATTACTTGATATGACGTGTCTGCTTTAAGCTCATTTAATGTGAAGTATACCGTACTACCAGTTGTAATGTCATCAGTTTGAACGGTCTTTGTGACCTCTTGGCCACCATCTCTTGTTTTAAACTGGACTGAAAAAGTTTGCTCGTGTCCACCATTGAATCCAACAATCCAGGATAAATTAACTGATCTAAATGTTGTTGTTTCGACAGAGAAATTACGCGGTGCTTCTGGCTTATCTGAAATTAAGCTTGCAACTTTCATCTATGGATTTATCTTATGAAAAGAGAAATCAACTGTATTCATTTACGTTATTCACAATAACCAAATCACAAAATATCAAATACCTCTACTGATTCAAAAAAATGTATTGATAAAAATGTGAAACTGCAAGGTAGATTTAAAAAGGAGAAAGTAACAGCTTAGTGTAAAAGATTTATCTCATTTAAAATTCAATGCAAATTCAATAATTAGGACATGTGGTGGATCTGTATCATTTATGTTTTGTAACCGTTTTTGACAGCCAAAACATTTTATAATGTGTCAGAACTGCTCCGAATTTGCACGAATCATTTGTGACTAGTCGATACGGTTTGGACAATCAATATAATAGATAGTATAAGTAACACGACGACTGTACCTGGTGGAGCAAGTACTATTTACCATACAAGATTATTTTTTTTGCCTTATCAAAAAAGTTGCGTGGACAAAATATTTTCGTTTTGTCGTATAATTATTTTAATTCTGATGTCAGTCTTTCTTTGAATTTAGATATTAATAACTTGACATAATCTTCTCTTTTGTGTTTCTTCTAAGATCTATTTATTCAAATTCTAATCGCTAAAAGACTTTTTATCATTTACATTGAAAATTAAAAAAAAAACTTTCGTGAACTCAAGTTAGATGAATACTGTTTTGCTAAGATACACAATTTTCAGATTGAAGCTACCTGTCTAAATCTGCTAAGGATATTACTAGCCAACAATAGATATTTAACAATAAGGAAATCAAATCCCCCACCCCTAAAAGGCTCATGACAGGTCATGTAAATAAATATGACTATCATTTTAGGGAAAATATTAAACTGCAACAACATAGGAAATGATCATTAGAATCTTAAATTATCTTGATAAAAAAATACATTGATCCATGTCCTAAGGCACCGATTATCATTTATTATAGGAAAAAATAAAAAAAATAAACAACGATGTTTGAATGTCGTAAATGAGATCATACAAAAGATGTAATTACACACACACTCACACATAATAATCTAGAGATCGGTCTGCAGCAGTAAACAAAGTTTATATACCATATGCAAAGCGTTTAAAATGCAGTCAGACTTAAGCATGTATAAAACATTTTTTTAAAATTGTTACATGACTTGCTATTCTCTCGCTTGGCACTTTGTATGTAATGTATGGAAGGGATGAACCCGTGTAATAGTTCTATCTTTCCAGCTTCATGATATGTGATTAGGCCGGGAATTTAAGATAAAATCTATAACAAGGTATGACTTAGATAATTTGGAGTTATATTATGTTTTATCGTTAGTATTAGATTAATCCATGAGGGCGTTAACCCGATTAGTTTTACAGGTACATTTGCAGAATAATATTAATACGGTTAATGCAAAATGAAAGCTAAAAAATTTTGACTTACGTGCATATTTGAACATCGTAACGAATGTCAAAAAAACAAATAACAACAGAAATAATAATGAAAATAATAATAATAATTATCATAATACTTATAAAATAATAATAATAATGATAATAATAATGATTACTATAATTATTATTATAGGTGGTAGTAGTAGTAGAAATAGAAGTAGTTACGGTAGTAGTTGTTGACGAAGTTATATTTCTTATTTGAATAACAATCGATCAGAAGAATATAATTAAATTCTCTGCATTTGTATGTTGTTTGCTCATAATGTGATATTTTTAATGTTTATAGATACATAGCTTGGATAATCAAATAAGAATTGAAGTTGATACATAAAATGTAATTACCTTCCGGTTTCAAAGTGATATTTTCCACAATACATCCTAACGTATTGCATATTTTTATTCCGTGTTCACTAAAATCATCTATCGAAGTAATTCGTATAGTGGAACTAATATTATGTCTGTAATCGTATTTGTCTTTCTCGACCCTCCAAATGAATGCAGTCTTACGAAGCCACGTTACAGTTGGTGCCGGAAATGATATTACATTCATTACTATTCTTACATCGGTGTTGACCTTTGTTCCTATTTTACGTTCTGTTTTAACATCCCGAGGTTTACCTGCAATACATATTTCAATTGTTAACAGTCAATAACGAAGCGATACAGATTCTCTAAAAATGTTACATTAGATTAAACACTCATTTTGTTATTCAAAGTCCTAAAATCTTTTGAATTGCACGACTTTTAGAACTTTTTTTCTAAACCGTTCAATCTTCCTTATTTTTCAAGTGGAACTCTGAAGTATTACTGAAATGTAGTATACCATACTAACGTATCAATATTCAGTATTTTTAACACTAGTAAATGAATGCAGTAGCTTTACCGGTCAAATACAACTTCTGAATAGTCTGAACATAGAATTACAGATCTAAATTGACTGCAAGCGAATTGTCTCAAAAGTACTGAATTTACCGCAGTGGATAAGTCACACAGTATGACGGAAAGACTGAAAATGACTAAACAATTATTTGTTCAGTTTTTTAAGAGGTGTTCAGATCAAAATTGGTTTACTAGTGGAGGTATCTTAATTTCACCTTTTTGCCAGTATAAAAATAAGGAGATGAGGTATGATTGCCAATGAGACAACTACCCTGCAAAGTTCAAATAAAGTGGATGTAAGCAATTATAGGCAACTGTACGGCCTTCAACAATGAGAAAAATCCAATACCGTATAGTCGGCTATAAAAGGCTCCGACATGAAAAACACGAAACAATTCAATTGAGAAAACGAACGGCCTAATTCATAACGAAACAATTAACGAAAAACAAATATGCGGGTTTGCTTTGACACAATTTTCGGGAATGTGATATATGTTTACGTTATTGTCTAAATATTTACATTTGGTAAGCATAATTTAGAAAAAATTCACAAGTTTCAAATTGTTGTATCTAATAATTACTTAATATGAATGAAAGGAGATTCGAGTTATACGCCAGCGCGACAAAATTCCAAGAAAAAAGATAAGATATGACATTTGGCAACTACTGACCATATTCCTGACTGGGGACAAGCACACGATCAAGTGTCACAGTTGAAATAGTTGTCAGGGATCTCAATTAACACCTGTTTTACTTTTCTTTACTATGGATTCAAACGAAAAATTCCGTGATACTTATATCATAAAGATGTTTGGTTTTTCTTATTAATACCGTATTTGTTTCGTTTGGAGGACGTATTTTTCTACAGAGAATTGGAATTCGTATCGGAATCCATCTTCTCTTGCCATCTTATTCATCCGATGTCGACGTCATACATGAGCTTCTCAGAAAGAATGAACAGAAGCTACATATAGCATCCCCAAACTTAACGTTCCGCTATATAGAGGATGTCAACTTACTAAAAACTCAAAGTTTTGTAACTATGTTGAACGCCTATATCCCATCGTACTTGAAATGAATAATTCCTCAGATAAGGTAAAGTCTGCCTCATATTTTGACTAACGACAATGAGGGTCGATTAAGAACTTAAAAGAGATAGTTTAGTTTTTCTATTGTGAAATTCACATTTCTATGAAGCAACCTCCCAGCACTGCCTGCATATTGAAAATAAATCTACCAATGGATATGATATTCCAGACCTTGCGTGTTCTAAAATGATTTCCTCGATAAACGGTTGCTGCTTACAAGGAAGCTATTGAACCAGCTTACAAGGAAGCTATCGAAGCAAGGGTTCCAAGTTGAAGTCATCCCTTCGAAAATTTACGGATGCCATCACAAGTTGGTTAACCATTATGGAATAGTTTTGTCGCAGAAAACTCAGGATATGTTCCAATTGTCGTAACCACAATCCCGTCCTTTTTCCACTGATTGTTTCATCACCGAATGAGACTCATCACCAAATGTTTATTTACTATGAGTGATACAATGGGTGACACTTACAGAGCAGGATCTGCTTAACCTTCCGGAGCACCTGAGATCTTCCTGTCTTTTGTTGGGGTTCGTGTTGCTCGATCTTTTGTTTTCTATGAATTGTTTTGTGAACTTATTAGTCTTTTTAGTCGTTTTCATTTTCTCTCGACTTTTGAGTTTTTAATGTCCCTTAGTATCTTTCGGTTTTTTTCCCCTTAAAATCCACATTTGTAAATTAACAACACTTTCATTAAAGAATATAATTGAATATCAATATAAGAAAAGCACTTGACTACAATAAAGGTATAATAAATAACAAAAAAAAGAATAGCAAATTATACTGTTTTTAAAAATACTCGCAGGTACTGCAAGCAAGCTCCCAATTAAACTAACAAAACATACTGTCATACATTTAACATCGGTTGTACTTTCATACTGTGATTTCATATATAAACGTCATAATCAGTAGATGATGACATAGATTTAAACAATGTCAAAAACAATTAATTATCCCGAAAAAAAATTGTATTTCTTCAAACTATAAAAAGCAAATTTATATTTATAAAAAGAAACAAGGATAGTATACTTATAACCTTATCAATTAGTATAGCAAAGCTATAGGACAGCTTTGAATGACATCCACTAAATGTATTAGCTTCATAAACCAGATAATTATAAATAGCTGGATGCAAAATACTACGTTTAGTTAATCATACTTCCATAATAAATCTCTGTATCTGTGATGAATTTTAGCAAAGGTTTTGACCCCCTATATCCCTGCCGTAAAAGCTTTTTTAGTAGTGAAAACTTAGCGGAAATGGAAATATGAGACCTATTCTATTTAGAATCCAAAAACAAAAGCAGCCAACTAAACATCACTCCCAAGGAAATGATAATTAACAATTTGTTCCTTTTTAATACATTTATATATGATGTTTCCATGTGAAATTTTAATATCAAGGTCACTATAAATGTTCAGACATTTATTACTGTGTCAGATCAATCTGTCCACTTCATTCACTTCATTAAAGGTTTACCGTATTTTGTTTATCTCTTTACTACACAAATTTACCCGAAGAGTTGACTTGGGGAATAGAAATTTAAACTGGTCCCGGCCATAACCTCCCTTTGCCAGCCAAAATGTTTTCCATTTCCATTAACCACGCACTTTCCAGTTAAAATCCACACCCCGTCCCCTTCACTCCGATCCAGCTGTCTTGTAAAACCTCTCTTTTGAGTGAATTGTTTATTTGGTCTCGTCCTTAGAAATCATGTATTATTTGGCACTTGGCATCTAACAAGCAACAATCGCTTAAATATATTCTGTCTTATAAAATTTTAAAAATTGACATTTTCCTTGCAAAATAGTCGATTTTCTAGATTATACATGGTCTTACAGACCAATTATGATAAACAAAATGATGTCCCATATAAATAAAAGGAGTTGCATGTTATGTGATTTTTACTTGTTTTTATATAGAAATAAGTATCTTGATTATAATACATTTTCTACCCTTTAAAGTAATTGTACACTTACCAATGAGTTATACAAAAATATGCAATTCTTATAGATATTTGGAGATCCTTGCTAATATGTTCTTCTGTAACTATTTAACTACACTTACACCGTATCACTAAGTTGACTGTTCTGTTGTCTCCATACGCTATCCCATTACTAGCATGTATTGTAAAGTTTCCTGTATTTTCACATCTTAGAGAAGGTAGTTTTGTTGAGAAATCATTAGATTGTTTGGTATAAAGTAATGTTGGAAACTTCAACAAAGAGGAGTGTATTACTATCTGCGGATCTGGGTTACTTTCAATACGCAGTGTAATCGTTAGATGGTTGCCTTCACTGAAACTATAGATTGTAGGGCTTCTCGATCCATAAGTATAATTTTTATCACTTAACCAAAGTGTTCTAATTTTTGGAGAAACTGAAACGAAACATACAATACTTCAAAACAACGAACATATACATAATCATTGGTGTCCTTCGGCTAATATCTGCTTTTTGGTCGGATTTTTGTCTCTTTGACACATTCCCCGTTTCCATTCTCAATTTTTTTTACAGGTGGACCAGGCTCTCCGGAGCACCTGCAATCACCCCCAGTTTTTGGTGGGGTCCGTGTTGCTCTGTCTTTAGTTGTCTATGTTGTGTTTTGTGTACTGTTGTTTGTCTGTTTGTCTGTTTGTCTTTTTCTTTTTTAGCCATGGCGTTTTCAGTTTTTTTTCGACTTATGAGTTTGAATGTCCCTTTGGTATCTTTCGCCTCTCTTTTACATGATATATACATAAACACATAAATAAACGACATCAACCCTTGCCTGAAAATAACCACATTCACAGTTAAATTAATCCTACTTCACTTTTTCTAGATATATGATTTAAATTTTGCCGTTCTTTGTAAATTTAAAAGCAAAAAATATACTTGCACTAAGTTTTTAACTCCCTCATGCATACTAAATCTTATGCTTTTTTAGGTCCTTTTTGTTAAAATATTTTATGCATCTAAATTTCTAAACATTTTTTACTGACGTTTTCTTCAAAATATGTTGTTGGTGAACGCTTAAATCGTTCGTGTTTGATAAAAGGTATGTTGAGCCTGCGTATTAGTCAGAATTAAGAAGCTGAATGGGTCTATTAATACCCATGCTACACCAATCTTTAAAGACCCAAATGTTTCTAAACCCTTGTCCTACCTCCATGACAAATATGTTGTTGTCTCCGCAGATAAAGCCCCAAACAACATCGTTTTTGTGTGTAAATCACATTACATAAACTGCTTGATAAATGAGTTAGGTATTGACAATTCACTTGAAAACTCAACATATACCCCCACGACACTTACTAAAGAGGAAATCCTTGATAATCATAAGTCTGTTCTATGTTCCTTTGGAAATTCAACCAAAGATGAAGAACTGGATCTTCCACTCAATGTATTGGATACCTAAACTACATAAGTGTCCTTACAAACAACGGTATATTGCTGGGTCTTCCAAGTGCTCCACGAAACCTCTTTCTAAATTATTAACATCATTTTAATCAGCAATCAACGCCGGCCTTCAAAGTTATTGTGAAACTACCTATTCTAGAGGTGACGTGAATCAGATGTTGATACTAAAAATTTCCAAATATCTTTAAAGTACATACAATCTAAGACTCTTTTATCTTGCAATAAGTATTAAAACATTTGACTTTCCTACACTTTACACAAGTATTCCCAATTTCAAACTAAAAGACAAATTGAAAGAGCTGGTCCTGCTTTGTTAAAAAAAATAAGAATGGCCAACGTAGATACAAGTATCTTGTCTTAGGGAGGGATACATTCTACTTTGTAAAAGATCACTCTGATTCTAACAAAAAATTCTCTGAAACTGACATTATCAAGATGCTTGATTTCTTGATTGAGAACTAATTTGTAACGTTTGGAGGACGTGTTTTTCAACAAAAAAATCGGCATTCCCATGGGAACCAACTGTGCTCTTCTTGCCGACTTGTTTATTAATTCATATGAGGCTGACTTCATACAGGAATTTCTTAGGAAGAAAGAAAAGAAGTTAGCAGTATCCTTTAACTTTCCTTTCCGCTACATAGATGATGTTCTCTCACTAAATAATTCAAAATTTGGTGACTATGTTGAACGCATATATCTTATCGAACTTGGGATAAAGGATACAACAGATACAGTTACTGCCTCTTATCTTGACTCACACCTAGAAATTGACAATGAGGGTCGGTTGAAAACAAAACTTTATGACAAAAGAGATGATTTCAACTTCCCAATTGTGAACTTTCCATTTTTATGTAGCAACATTCCAGCAGTTGATACGATACTCCATGGCTTGTATTTCCTATCATGTTTTCTTTGATTGAGGGTTGCTACTCACAAGGAAGCTATTAAACCAAGAGTTCGAAGTCGTGAAGTTGAAATCATCCCTTCGTAAATTTTACGGACGACATCACGAGTTGGTTGACCGTTACGGAATATCCGTTTCACAGATGATAGCGGATATGTTCCTAATGTCGTAACTACAATTCCGTCCCATTTTCCCGAACGTGACCTACCGAATAAGACTTAATACCGGGTTTGTACTAACATGAGCAACACGACGGGTGCCACATGTGGAGCAGGATCTGCTTACCCTTTCTGAGCACCTGAGATCACCTCCAGCTTTTGGTGGGGTTTGTGTTGCTCAGTCTTTAGTTTTCTATGTTGTGTTTTGTGTACTATTGTTTGTCTGTTTTTCGTTTTCTTTTTAAGCCATAGCGTTGTCAGTTTATTTTCGACTTATGATTTGAATGTCCCTTTCGTATCTTTCGCCTCTCTTTTACAACAGTCTTTGAAGTATTTGTTTTCCTTGTGTATTTAAATTTCCCTCTAAATCAAACTGTATTACAATAAACCGTTGATTCATAATTCATAATATTTCAATTGAAATGAGGTGTCACAGTGCCGGAAAGAAAGGTAAAACATTGTATGCCTTACTGCTCACATAATAAAATTTTTAACCCTATTTCGTCGTACATAACTTTCAAATAATAACTCTTTATAGCCCTTTGTATTCTTCACTTTAATACAAGAATATATTAGCCAAAATAATCGCCACTCCCATGACATTACAATGTGATACTTAATGTGCTATGTTGCGATTGTCTACCATAGACCAACATACTAATGCAGTGTGTTTTGGTCAATGATTTCGACTGGCTAATATTCTGTATGAAATCCTTAAACTGCGCAATTACCTATTTTAAGGCATCTTTACACAAAACTCAAACAGCCTGTTGTTGTCAATGCTATCTATATTTAGAAGAAATCATAAAATTATATACTAACTACGCATTTGTTTAAATTTGTTTTCATTGTTACTTTTCAGAAGAACTTTATTTTGGGGACTGATGAGCAAAAGCGATGAAAGTGCAAAACATTGAAGAATTCCATGAGAGCGCATGCAAATTTGATTATTCACTAGATTTCCCTTTTTTTAAGACGACATGAGTTGTTTATTTGTGGACGCTTACTACGGTCAAAGCTTTATCATAAATCATCAGATAGAATAAGTAGGGGCCCTTTATAGCTTGGTGTTTGGTGTGTGAGCCAAGGCTCCGTGTTGAAGGCCGTACTTTGACCTATAATTGTTTACTTTTTATACATTGTGACTTGGATGGAGAGTTGTCTCATTGGCACTCATAGATGTCATACCACATCTTCTTATTTATATTTAATCTATTTTAAGAAAACGTAACGATTCGAAGATGACAATCTGAAATATAAATATTTGGTAAATATTTTAAGAATAAATGATTATGCAATACAGTTTAGAATTCGGTAAAAATGAAAATCATTCGATTTTATCACTATCACCCAAGACAATGATCTGCTGTTTTCTACGAAAATATAAGTAATAAGTTGTCTTAAGTTATATTTTAGTGTATTTTGCACGGACCATTGTAATGTAGATATTTCACTGTAAATACTTACAATGTACATTTACTGATATATCTGTTCTTCTACGAAGTGTTGTATTATAAGGATAAACAACTAGACAACGGTAGATCCCGGCCTTATTCTTCTTTATATTTTCTACATTTAGAGTTTCACCGGAAAGGACATCTTCAAAAGTTCTTGATTGATTCAGTTTCCATCTGAATAAACATTTCGGATTGCAGGTTGCAGTACAACGTATAGGACCTAATGTAGTTCCTTCTGTAACATTGATAGTTGTGTGTCCAGGTTTCAGCACAACATTGTCAGGACCATCTACATCAGTTAAATACCATATGATAATGTTGGGTAAAAACCATAAAAAACATTCAATTAAAAAGATAAACAGAATTACAATAAAAGAGGAAATAACTAGAGGCTCTCAAGAGCCTGTGTCGCTCACCTGTATCTACTGTGGTTTTTGAAATCATGTAAAATAAGGTTAAAAACATTAGATATCCTAAAAATGATTGAGGCCAAGTTTGGTTTAATTCGGCCCAGTAGTTAAATTTAAAGCAGGTCATGCCATTGTAGTCTTACAATAGTTACTGAAGACCCCTTATCATTATTTAAATTATTTTTCAAATTGTGTGACCATTTGAAATTGTTTTTTTACAATTTTCCCTTAGACTTCAATAGTAAACCCCTATGTTCTATTTTTAGCCATGGCGGCCATGTTGGTTGGATGACAGGGTCATCGGATACATTTTTCAATTACGATTCCCTATTGAAAATTGTGGCTTAGTTTAATTCTATTTGGCCCAGTAAATTAAGTGGAGAAGACTTCTGTAAAAGATTACAAAAATTTACGAAAAATTGTGAAAAATTGACTTCAAAGGGCAATAGCTCCTGAAGGAGTCAATTGACAATTTTGATCATGTTGACTTATTTGTAGAGCTTACTTTGCTGAACATTTTGCAGTTTACAGTTTATCTCTATTATAATATTCAAGATAATAACCAAAAACTGCAAAATTTCCTTAAAATTACCAATTCAGGGGCAGCAACCTAACAACAGGTTGTCTGATGCATTTAAAGATTTCAGGGCAGATAGATCTTGACCTGATGAACATTTTTACCTCCATGTCAGATTTGCTTTAAATGCTTTAGTTTCAGAGATATAAGCCAAACTGCATTTTACCGCATGTTCTATTTTTTGCCATGGCAGCCATCTTGGTTGATGGACGGGATCATCGGATACATTGTTTAAACACAATACCCTAAGGATGATTTAGGCCAATTTTGGCTTAATTTGGCCCAGTAGTTTCAGAGGAGAAGATTAGTAAAAGATAAAAAAAAATTACGAAAAATTGTGAAAAATTGACTTTAAAGGGCAATAAATCCTTATGGGGTCAATTGAAAGTTTTGATCATGTTGACTTATTTGTAGATCTTACTTTGCTGAACAATTTTGCTGTTTACAATTTATCTTTATCTATTATAATATTCAAGATAATAACCAAAAACTTCAAAATTTCCTGAAATAACATATTCAGGGGCAGCAACCCAACAACGGGTTGTCTGATGCGTCTGAAATTTCACGGCAGCTAGATTTTGAACTGATGAACATTTTTACGAATGTCAGATTTGCTCTAAATGCTTTAGTTTCAGAGATATAAGCCAAAAAAACTACATTTTACTCCCATGTTTTATTTTTAGCCATGGCGGCCATCTTGGTTGATGGGCGGGGTCACCGGATATATTTTTTAAACTAAATACCCTAAGGATGATTTAGGCCAAGTTTGGTTTTATTTGGCCCAGTAGTTTCAGAGGAGAAGATTTTTGTAAAAGTTAACGGACGACGACGACGACGACGAACGACGGACGCCAAGTGATGAGAAAAGCTCACTTGGCCCTTTTGGGCCAGGTGAACTAAAAACTTACCAATTAAGGCATGCAGAAGCAGGACAGATAACACATGACAAAAAGACAAAACATTAAAACAAGTTCTAAATCGTTAAACAAATAAAAACCACAGACGAAGCAACACCACCTGCATTATAAACCAGATATGAACTCAGCTGCTATAGAAGGGTTAGACATGTGTGCTCTTCTATCATGTCTAGCTCTACCAGGACATAAAATAGAAAAATTAATATGTTTTATTCATTGTTACTGCTTTACGTAAGAAAGCTACATAATTATCATGATAACGGAATATATGTAATCATCATTACATAGTAAAACAGAACAACAATATCAATTCATGTTTGAAAAAAAATGTGAATATAATAGTTTACACTATTTCATACTGATATGTGTAAAAGACTAGATCAACGATTCGCGGAATTTTAATTTAACACAATGGAAATGTTGACCATAAGAGAAATAGGTTTGACAACTCGTGAGAATGGGATATCGCTTGATATCAACTATCGAAATTGAATTCGGCTCATTTATTATTATATTGAAATTAAATAACTCGAATTAATATCTAGCGAAAACTAATCCTAACTCGTTCTGAAATCTAAAATAACCAATTTTATTTGCTAATTGAAAATTAAGCTGAATAAAATAATTTAAGGACAGCAGAGAAGATAATTCTGTTTTAATTGTTTATTACTAAGACTTAAAATAAAGAGTGAGATATTTATACTGTAAATTTATGATGTCTCTAGTCTGGTCAAAGGGTCAGAGTGTCCTACTTAACCAAACGATAAATTGTTGAAATTAGAAAACATGTTTTCACGTGCAGAGAAATTTCACTTATGACCAATGCATGATTGGATTACATCTTTCTTATTGGTCAATGATCTTGCGGGGTCAGCACGAGTTCACGTGTAAGTGCGTTGTGGTCACTTCCTTTTATCATCGGCATTTGATGTGTTAACTTGTGATTCTCATCAAACAACTTGTTAAAAATTTTGATGTGTTAACTTGTATTTCTTATCAAACAATTTGTTAAAAATTTTAATTTTATGGATAATTTTGGACTGGAGTGATTTCCTTTTAGCAATTTGAGGTAAAATCGAACTATACTTTTATTTTTTAGCTATTTTATGCTTACATTCTGAACAAACGTACAGTTAATTTTTTACCATTCTTCCGTTCGGATAGATCTCACGATTTTGATTTATGCAAAACTTGTAGCAGTTAATTGGTCAAATTCATTTCTTTGTCAAAGAGATAGTGGGTCAAATTAATTTTGGTGTTGGTGGCGACACTGTGCGTTTGCGATCAAAATGTAATTATTTACCATACTTATAAAAATTATAGCTGATGATTAACCCGATGTTGTAATTTTACAAGTTACTGAATCCTTAATAGCATCCTAATGTTTGCAGAACGTATATCCGCCTTGTGTATCTGTAGGAGACATGGTTCATTTAAATTTAACTACAAATACAATTTTTTTTTGCATAACGATAATAATACCATACATGATAGAATGCAAACTTACACACTTATATACGGTGTTATTCACGATTCAATACATTTAATCACTCTCATATAAAATGAACTCATCATAGATACCAGGATTAAATTTTGTGTTTACGCCAGACGCGCGTTTCGTCTACAAAAGACTCGAATCCCAAAAAGTTAAAAAGGCCAAATAAAGTACGAAGTTGAAGAGCATTGAGGACCAAAATTTCTAAAAGTTTTGCCAAATACAGCTAAGGTAAGAAAGAGCTAAGGTAAGAAAGAGCAAGGTAAGAAAGAGCAAGACAGTTTAAGTTTTAAGGCTATGCTATTATTTATTGGGCTACAAACCCATTTGCCTTACTTGTTTGGGTAAGGTGGACGATATTTCAATTGGTGCAGAGAGCTTGGTTTCTTGTACTTATGACCTCTGTGTATTTCCTTTTGCAATCATGTTTTATTTAGTGTTCATTGTTTTATGCTATGTCACGAAACTCATGCTTCTTTCGTAAATCTCGTCACGGTGGTTTTGTTGGAGCTTGTAATTTTGCAAGTTAGCCTAATCGCTATAATTGTTAGTATTTTAATTTATGCAGGTGTACCTTGTTTGCTTAATATTAACGGTATAAAAAGGATATGTCTCTTACCTATATCGCAACCCAATGCTTATTTATTACGAACCACTTTGCCTGTTTGTTATTATGTAGTAGGTATTGTTTATGCTTCGTTGGGAAACTCATGCTACTTTTGCAGAGGTCGTAGTAGCTTGGTCTATGACCTCTGTGTATTTGCTTTTGAAAATATGTTAGTATGTAGTGGGTATTGTTTTATGCTTCGTCATGAAACTCATGCTACTTTTTTTGCAGAGGTCGTAGTAGCTTGGTCTATGATCTCTGTATTGTTTTATGCTTCGTCATGAAACTCATGCTACTTTTAATTATTATATCGTCATCGTGATTGGTTTGGAATAAATTATTTTTGTAATCAATTATTTTGAGACATATAGCTAGATTCACATGTTTGTCAGTTTATTATACATGTTTTTAATGTATTATTTTATTATAATTATGTTTACTAGTATAATGCATGTACATGATATAGTTTGGGTTGCGATGAACGTAATTGATAATTTTTATGCCAATAATTATGCATTGTAAGGTCGTTTGCTTTTACTTTATACTAGATTTATTATTAAAAATAACAATGGACAAGACATACTGATAATATTTTAAAGTTCATACTCTTCATTTAATACATAATATATAAAAATCATGTCTGTTTAATGGTTGATTATTGAAGAAGAAGAAACTACCAAGTTTTTTTTTTTTAATGAGAATTTAAGTTTTTCCATTCTTTTACATTCTAATTTTGTTTATTTCATGCTTTAACTATGGACAAAGAGCGTTGAGTCTGGTATTGATCTACAAAAGAACTTTTTCCCATTGTAGGAAATGTGCAATAAAGCGTGATATCAACAACTTACATATACTTTCATATATCAGCGGTATGACATAGTTCCGATAATACAAACATACGAATGTTGATGGGTTGCTGTTTCACTGACATTATTTAATGTCACATACCTAATTTCGAGATTAGAATGTTTATCAAGACGTGCGAGTCATATCAACAAGAATCATTGACTAACCAAAGCCTACTTTGACTGTTTTATAAATACAAATTTACAAAATACGACTTCGATCAGCATTTGGATACACAACTGGACCCTAGTTCCAATGAAAGTCTAAAGCACCAATTGCTATTATTCCACCATCTCTTTAAAGTTGGCTATGTCGTTAATTGTCTTGGACTCTCGTAAATATACAGCACTTAGTTTTAGAAGAAGGAAAAAACAAAGACTTCTGCTGCAGTTCATGGATGGAATTGTCCTATTCGTGATTCAAGGATTGAAGTCAAATGCGTTTATCGGAATTTTACAGCATAAAAAGAATTAAGTTAGTAAAAGAACTTTATGCTTCAGCTGTTTCGGGTCAGTATTGCCTGACAAAACGTTTATGATCTTTATTTCACACATTTACAACTACCTTGTTTAGGGTCAGCATTGCCTGCCAAAACGTTTTATGATCTTTATTTCATATAATTACAAATGTCTTGTTTTGGGTCAGCATTGCCTGCCAAAACGTTTACTAGTATATGATCTTTAGTAATAAAATGCTATGCTTGTTTTGGGGTCAGTATTGCCTGCCAAAACGTTTATTATCTGTATTTCATATAATTACAACCGTATCATGTTTTGGGCCAGTATTGCCAGCCAAACGTTTATGATCTTTATTTCGTACGATTGGGGTCTATATTGCCTGCCCTCCTGCCGATGCTGTCTTTACACATTTTTCAGACTGTCAATGTGGACATTTGATAGGCTACCATTAAATTGTTTTTTTAAATTTTATGGCTCGGTTTAACTTCCTGTATGTATACATGAATTGTTCATAAATCATGTTATGTTATGGGTTCGTGTTGCTCAGACTTTAGTTTTCTATGTTGTGTCATCTGTAATATTATTTGTCTGTTTGTCTTTTTATTTTTGGCCATGGCGTTGTCAGTTTGTTTTCGATCTATGAGTTTGAATGTCCCTCTGGTATCTTTCGTCCCTCTTTTATGGTTTTTAATGTTGCCTATTTAATTCAAATTCGTATTTATTCAAATTATATATATATATATATATTTAAGGACTTTATGGTTTATCCCAATTATGTACTAAATGCTATGGTCTTTAGAGGTAAACCCATCACAAACTAAAGTTTTTATATTTAACTAAACTTGTTATTAATTAAATGGGTTTTTCTCTTTCGAGAAAAAATTTAGAGTATGTGTCAAAAGTTATAAATATTTCCTCGGTTAAAATTTACATCATTTAACTTTAATCATGTTCATCGCAAGGTAAATAAAAACTATACGAAAAATCACTAAAGGCTGGAATATTATTTCAAAGATATTTTTCATTTTACAACTTTATTACGACCGTATACAATATAAACCTTTTAAAATGTATTGCATTGTAATACCAGTATGTTCAGAATAAGTTCTGTAGCATGCCAGGAAGAAAATGAATATGAATTCATTTTGTATATTTATTTATTTATTCATTTATTTATTTATTTATTCATTTATTTATTTATTTATTTTTATTATTATTATTATTATTTTTTTTTTCAATAGAAAAATCAAATTCCCGATGTATATTAAGTATATTTTAAAGTGTAAATTAAAAGTCCCCAAGCTTATCAGTGCTGGATAAGTAAGTTTGGTGGATTATAGTAGTATTATCGATATAAATCATTACTATTAATATTAAATGGTGGTATTCACCAGTCATTAAATTTCTAAAAAGCTGTATATTCAAGATTATGACTAAAGCTTAACTTTTTACCGAATCATGAGTTTCGCAAAATATTTCTAAAGTCTCTTATCAATAATAACAAAAATAACTGAAGTTAAAAAGGTCTACATTAGATACTTATTTACTAATTTCAATTTAAAACCTTTTTCCTTACGACATTTAATAAATCTATGATCTTTATACAATTTTGATTGTTAAATGTCAAGTGTAGTATGAGAATCAGTTGCTCATGATCCCATATAGAAATAGTCAGATATAAAACTTCGTATTTAGAAAAAATCCAGGGCTTCGTAAAAATTTACTTCTATTTTGTTTGAAGATTTAAGATTAAAGATAAAGTTTCGGTTAATTAATGTACTAATTGTCCGTACTAAAATATTAAAGGGAAACTATTATTAAATGTCTAGATGTAAGAAGAAATATGAATTCTGAAACATATACTTAACGACGATTATATTGTAATTTTATTGCTGTGGTCCTGACCGGATTAAAATTTACACCTTTAATCATTTTTATCAGTAAGAGATAATTTAAAAGTTATATCTTGGTATATGATCATATGAACTTTTAATATTTCTGCTCAATGTGGAAACGTTTTACAAAAATAAAGTGTTATTTTTTGGTGTACATGTATGTGAATGTCAAGTTATATATAAATTGTATTCACGTCGCCAGAGTCCTCGGGTGGGGGATCCACTCTTTTAGCCTAAGAGTGGATTTGGGAATCCACTCTTTCAGCTTAAGAGCGGATTTGTGGCAGATTTTTCTCCCCACCTTTGCTATTCTTTTTCATTTATTCAATTGATATGATATTAGTTGATGTAATTTCGTATTAATTATGTAATATTATTTCATATTAAATATGAACTTTTATGTCAAATGTCTTATTTGCAAAATGTATTTTTTGCATTTTATGATTTTGAATAAATGACCTTTTTTCGTCAGTTTAGTTTTTATATCATATAGCAAATCAAGCTCAGACTCTGGCCTGTGTATACATAGTATGATTATGGTATCTAGATGTCTGTCTTAAAAGCACGTTCCGTAATGTGCAAATTTATGCTGGTTGGTAAATAAACATTAAATAAACAATAGTTATAGCCTTCAATATGTAAGAGCAATATTCATTATATTATAGCATTTGCGAGTCTTGTATAGACAATGAGTGTAGCATTAAAATGACACGCATGTCTATCTCACAACAATTGACATCAAAGATTTATTAAATTATTATACTTACAATAAGGATCCAAAGTAACAGCATCACTCATGATAGAAACTTTCTTGCGATCATCAGTTGCCTGACAAGATATGTTCATGCCTTTATCCGACTTAGCAAGGGTGTTTATTATTAACTTATTGTTTTCATCATCACCTCTTCTGTTTCCAAAAAACTGATACGACAAATTTGAAGGTATATACCCAGGCCATCTTTGCACTGTTGAATGACATGTAAAGATAACTCTACTGTTGACAAATGGATGCTCGGGGCTAATGGTTAAAGTTGGATCCGTTGGTTTAGCTATAATATTTATCAACAATTCTATTAGCGTTAAGAGATGATAATGTAAAACATTATATTTGTAAAATATATCATAAATGTATTTAATACGATGATACTAAAAAAATCGTATCAAAAAAATTGTGGAAACAATTAGAAAACACTAGGCTGACCTTAAAAGTTCGAATTTAAGTATATGTCTCTGAAATCAAACTGTGTTTCAAAAAGAGGATGTGTTTAGTTTGAATATATTTCATTGCTCAAAATGACACATGAATTATACACAAGTGTACAACTTAGTTACGTCTTCTCCAAAGGAAGGATGTGTTAAAAGTGATTATCTGACCACCGAAATTACAAACTTATGTTTCAACACTTATTAAATGCATCGGCCCTCTCAATTTTGTATTGATTTTATTGATAAATGAATAGAAGGGTAAATTCTAGTAATTTTCATGCAAAAATTTTAATTGTGCTATCTCTATAATACAAGCATATCGAAATTGACGTATTTGATATATATAGCCATTTTGCACATTGGTTATGTAAAATAAAGAAAAAGTAGTCAAAACCTTTATTAAAACATATTTGCACAACAAGAACAAAGATGAATGAGACATCTTGTAGCAATATTTTTGTCATGAGGTGAAATTCAAAAATGCAAATGATGATTTCAGACAGACTTATATCTGGGAACAGCTAAAGGATGGTGTCACATGTAGAAAACTTCTTTCTTTTCAAATTCAAGCCATACAATACCTTTTCCTTTCTCTAATTGACATAAATTTGATTTAATGTAACATGGCTATAGTTTGTTGAAAACATCTCCGCTTCATGGATAACACAGCAATAACATTAAATACTCATTTATAAAACTTATCTACTCATTTTTAAACATATTTATATGGAATGATTGTGCCAATTAAGTAGCCAATATGTTTCTGACATTGGCCTACTGTTTGGTCAAATTTATATAATATATATATTTCCCCTCAGCCTTTAGTCAGAAATTACCCCTTGGTACCACTTTTTGGGGTAAAAAGTGAATTAAAGCAGACTTTATAAATACTAAGTTCTATATATACCAATTAACCAGACTGAGAATAAGAAAATAAAGTGAAGAAGAACAAAAAAGATATTGTTCAAATATAACAAACACCGGCACATATTCGTATGTCGTAAGAAGTAATTAAAAATGAAATATAACCATTTTGAAGCCCTTTGGAAATTTCATAATACACAGGACTACATAAGGGGTCGAAACATTTAATTTAATAATGTTGTACATCACAAACCCAGAAATGGTAGCCGATTTTGTTTTCAAATTGTTATCATCCTTGTTTAATCATTTTAACTGTTGCTTTTATAATAGTTTCAACATTACCATTTTTTATTTAGAAAACTAACTTTATTTGGAACATTTTAAGATGGAATCGTGTTACGCTTATTGACTACCACAAGTTGCTGCAAGATTGAAAATTGATTCCAACAATAATTTCTTCATTGGTATCAAGATAATAAACGTAATGTTTATTAATGTCTTTTAAAATCATATTAGTTTGAACTAGCTGTCAGTAACCGCGAGTACTCTCAGATCTGTACTTAGTGTATTTTTGTTTTTGGGATATATGTACCCGTCCACGTCCACTCTGTGTTTTTGTTAGATGTATTTCTGTTTAGTCATCTGAAGAGTTAAGCATTTTTCAACTGATTTTTATAGTTTGTTCTTATGTTGTACTGTTACACCACTGTCCCAGGTAAGGGGAGGGTTGAGCGCTCACAAACATTCTTTATGTGCCTGTCCCAAGTCAGGAGCCTGTAGTTCAGTGGTGGTAGTTGTTTCATGTCTGTCATATTTGTTTTTCGTAAATTGTTTTGTTATAAATTAGGCCGTTAGTTTTCTCAATTGAGTTGTTTCATATTTTTCATGGCGGGGCTTTTTATAGCCGACCATACGGTAATGGTTTTTCTCATTGTTGAAGGCCGTACGGTTGCCTATAATTGCTTACATCCACTTCATTTGAACTTTGGTGGATAGTTGTCTCATTGACAGTCATACCACATCTCCTTATTTTTATGTAGGTCACATATTGCAATGTAGTATCATTATTGTTGTAATTACAGAAGAGAAGTAATATATTTCCAGGTCTCAGAAGAGGTGTTTAAACACACTGAAGTAAACAATAATATACATGTAAACATATAAAATGATTCGTGTGCAATACAGATTATGGTTAATCTTTTTGTTAAGTTAAAATCACTGAGTCCCGTTATAAATTTTGCAAAAGGTCTATTCATAACTTTCTATTTTCAATTGATTGATTGTTGGTTGCTTAACGTCCAGTGGCAAATATTTCGTGCATGTCCAGGACGAGAACAAATTAACAATTAATACGTTCGGGATGATGGTTGGGGAAATTTAGACTGCCACTGGAAAATGGGGATATAGTGGATAGGGACAGAAATTTGGCCTTGCAACAGGCTACCTACGGACCCCTCAAAGAGTTGTCGCAAGGGTTCTTAACGTGCAGCGAGCATAGCACTCTCTCTACACGAAACATCGGATTTAACGTCCCCATTCTGACCGGACGTGTCTGCGTACTTGATTTATCCCGCACAACCAAACGGACGACCCACCATGGCAAGGGTTTTACTGCCGGTCGGAAGAAGACCTGTATTGACAATAGTTCTATTCCCCAGTCACCCTTGTTTTGAAAAGAAATCTAATCTGTTCTGTTTATGCAGCTACAAAATATACATATACCGACCGGAAATGTTTAATTTTTGGACGAAGTATGGTGATATCGGACAAAATGGTGGCCGGCCGGGGAAAAATAAGTACCATTTGTGTATTCACTTTATTCTACAGTCTTTAACCTTAATCCTTGAAACATTGTGACATTGGACCATTGGACACAATTCGAACTTGCACACCTAACATTATGGGAATTTTAGAGGCATTTTTTTTCTATTTTTCCGGACATGTTAATATTTCAAATTTGTTACCAAAGGCTGTACTAATTTTGTGTAATAAACACCTCTAAAAGCCTTGAATTTTCCCTGAAATATTACACATACATTTGAGTTGTGGCCCTGCTATTTAGGAATTATTTGGGGAATTTTGTCACATTTTTTCTGTATAATCACTTAGTCATTTCCAGCTCAATTTAAAGAAAAAAATATTTTATGTTATTTTCTTGTATTGAGACAATACATATATATATAGATAAATTTTGGTTTGTTTCTGGTTAGCTCTGTAAAGTAATAAAACTCAAGTTCTGACTTTGCACCTTAATAAAGTATGATCATCGGAAAAGTTAGTTATCTAATTCTGCAGACATGCTTATTTTATATCCTGATTTTTATTAATTTTGATATCATACTTGTTACAACTAATAAACAGCACCGATTCACATTTAGATCATCCCTTGATCGATATAGCCCAGCATCAGTCGTCTCCACACGTATGATGGTTATGTTTATAGTGCTTACATCCTTTGATTTTTCTCCTAGTTTGTATTTCTTCTTATCAGAATTATGAATTAAAGTGCCAAACTGCACTGCATATATTAATTTAGTTGGCGCATAAACAGAAATTGCACTGTTATCTGTAAAACCGGTCCTCCATGATAATTCAACATTTTCCTCGATTTCAGCAGTAACTGTGGTATCTGTAAATATAATTCCAATTTTTATTCCAACACAATGGGAAAACTAGTAACGAAAGCATTAACAAATGAATCTTATTTTTTGAATAACTTTTTGAAAATAAACAAAACAGTGTTTATCAAAACAATGTGACGATGATATATTTATAACTTGCGGTATTGCGAGTCAAGCTCACAAAAGGATACCCATCACCATTGTCATTAGCACGTATTGACCTCGAGCTTGCAGTCAGACATTCAAACTATGTATACAACACATCTTCTAGAAGCAGGCACCACTAATATAAAGTTTAATCAATATATTGCAAAATATTAAAAAATCTGTGTCGGACACGGTTTTGTTTGTTTGATTATATGCATGTAATGTTGAAATAAGTTTGTGACATTGACCTCGTTGGTAGACTTTCAAGCATAATCGATATCCTTCAGAGCATTCAACTGTTCTAAGTTGGACAAAATCTGAAACTAACTGTGACCTTGATATTGCAGACTTTGTTTCGGACACACCGCATTCAACTGTTCTAAGTTGGACAAAATCTTAAACTAACTGTGACCTTGACATTGCAGACTTTGTTTCGGACAACCCCCCCCCCCCCCCCCCTGGTGGTGGACAATAACAGCTTAAAACATAATTAATATCTCTCTAGGCTCTCAAAATTTCTAACTCGCCTAGAACTTTTATATTTGAAAAAAGATGTTCATGGGCTTTAACCTGAAGACAGACATTCGTAGCAAATCCGTGACACACAACTGGACATTTAAAAATTCCAGTAAAATTCATACTCTGCAAAGCCTTCAAAGATCTGAGTCGGACACGACTTAGTATATTTGAATATAGAGATGCAAACTTTAATTAAGTTATTGACTTTGTCCTAGCAGACGGACTTTCAAAATTATTCAAAATAAACCTAGTAATAATGGGCTAGAATAATGCAAAGTATCAATTATATAATTCATGGCTTTCAATAGTCATGAAACAACACGACTTGTAGAGACTGACAGACACAAGGACAGATAGCCAGATAGAAAAACAGATAATAGACAGACAAATAGACAAACAGACAGAAAGAAAGAAAGGTAGGCCGACAAATAGACGAGATAGACGGAAACACGGACATAATGATTTCTATATATCCCTAGAACTTCACATATTGGCTTACATTAGATGTTTGCGTACAAAATGGACCATAACCATTGTTTTCAGTTGAATGATTGAATTTCAGAAGTGTTTCCCTACCATAAACAGTTTAAATCTCCACACTTATTTATTAAAATAACTATATATCGCACAATGTTCACATTTAAAATAAAAACAAAATTTATATACAGTGTAATAAAGGTTTATTTAGCACATCATAGAGATGAATGAACTGAACTTTAAAAAACAAATCACACCAAAAACAAAAATACGATTCAATGGTTTCTCCTAATAAACACAAACTAACACCAAAATGTTCTTCTGTCTTTGGATATACGTTACAGCACACTATTACGGCTGTCTGTCGGTATATCGAGAAAAATTATCGTGAGAGAATAAGTAACGGTGGTGAAGTATAGCGATAGGATCGTGAAATAGTTCTAGTATGGGATCGTGAAGGCAATCTTATCGAGTAGACACATACAAGGTCAATAGATAATCTTATTTACTGCATTATAATGACAAATTTAAAAAAAAATCAAACTGTCTGTCAAACATTATGAGCAGTATGTGAGAAAATCACCGTGTTTTTTTTAAAACCTACAAAAATTGCTCTTCAACATGTCAATGACATAAAAATTGTAAACATTTAAATTGTAAATTGTAATCAGGCCGTTAGTTTTTTTGTTTGAATTGTTTTACATTTGTCTTTTCGGAGCCTTTTATAGCTGACTATGCGGTATGGGTTTGGTCATTGTTGAAGGACGTACGGTGACATATGGTTGTTAACTTCTATGTCATTTGGTCTCTGGTGGAGAGTTGTCTCATTGACAATTAAAACACATCTTTTTATTGTTATATAAACATGATTTTTTTTTCATTTTATGAATAACTAAATTACTACTCTCTGAACATTGTCGTTCTATATTAGCGTTTCAAATGGCTCTCAAAAGTATTTTGAAGTACAGGTAACTTAATAAGAAAGTAGGTCGAAATTGGAATATTTCTATACATTTGATATTTATGACTGTGAAAGATCGGGTACCAATTTTTTGTGATTGTGAAAAGGACCATGAAAGAGCCGGTGTCGCTAATTTTTCATTCAATTTGCACATATTATTGAAAGTGTTCAAATTTTTTGTAATTATATGAAAATTTATTATGACTTTTTCCTGTTCGCTTTTTTGTTGAGAGATGATCCGTTAGGCTATGATAGTTTAATACTAAGGTCTAGTTTCTTAATAAGACAATGCCGAATAGTCCGTGGTTCCCTAAAGCAATTTCTGCCTGTCACTCTGTCCGTCAGCATCGGTATAACGTTATTAAAGTCAAGGGTGCGTCATACGATATCCATAATGTTTATGGATAGTATTGATATCTATAAGAGAAATATATTTGTCGATTTTGTATGAAAAAAGGAGGAACATTTTTGTAAAATATAAAAAATAATCACAAATTTCGAGAAATATCTTTTTGAGCTAGAAATTCAATGGAAAATAATAACAGATTCCGGACATTTGAAATTTGCTGCATGTGAAAATGTGGTTAAAACTTTTTAATTTTTTTTATTTTAAATTAAGAAATTATTATTTCATCTTTGTGTGCAATGATTTTCAACAATTATTTATATTCAGGTATAATATGAAATCTAGATTGATTCCCAGTGTCAAATTTTCGATTAAACATCTGAATAAAAAAAAACTGACAAATATGAATAAACTCTTTCTGTTCTAACTATATATATAGGGTCTATATCAAACTTGTGCATTGCGGTATTCTAAATTGATTATCGGTGTCCAATTTGTGTTAAAAACTGAGCTTTTATGTGAAAAAAAGCCATGAAATTTGAAAATAATCTTTTTGTGTTAGCATTTTTAACTAAAATTTAAACACAGTTATTATATGCCATTTTGAAATGATGTTGCCAAATAAAAACTGCATAGATTGCCATTTTCGAAATGACCGTTAAAAAATATGAACAATCTCGTAGAATAAATTTAGTATATAAAAATAACATATCCCGAAAAATTTCCCGGTTTAAATTTGTTGTGTTTCAACGTTTCAATGCCATGCAATGTCCAAATAGCGGCGTTGGAAACAATGAACGACACGATTAAAAGAAAGTCCTGCCTTTATTGTATTACATACGCTAAGCTAGATTATTTACGTTCGAGCTGGAAAAAAAGTGTTATCAGTTCGTATTAGATAGTGTTAGCTGTAAGTACTAGTGCTGCGTGCTAAGCGTAAATTAATTGACTATCACTTTTGATTAAAAACATTTTTGGAGATACATACCATGAGATAAAAAACTTATGTTAATTTATTACATTAATCTCCAATCTGAGCGAGACCTGATATGTCCGCAAGATAATTTTCTTCTGCTATGCATCACCAGGCAAGCGAATCCCAATATGTTAGGATCGGGAATAGAACACAATCGGTACAAACTAAGCTAGGAAATCTAGATGTACGTAATTTGAAATGTTGACCACCTAGTAGGGTACTATGACGTATAACAGTGGGCTCAAATTCAATGTATGACCAGGAAAGACACCCTTCGACCACTGTCGCTTCGAACATTCGCTAATGCCCTTAAAATTATAGATACAAACATCCTCTTTTCGACAAGTTTTTGTGATTGTGACAAGGACCATGAAAGAGCCGGTGTCGCTAATTTTTCATTCAATTTGCACATATTATTGAAAGTGTTCAAATTTTTTGTAATTATATGAAAATTTATTATGACTTTTTCCTGTTCGCTTTTTTGTTGAGAGATTATCCGTTAGGCTATGATAGTTTAATACTAAGGTCTAGTTTCTTAATAAGACAATGCCGAATAGTCCGTGGTGCCCTAAAGCAATTTCTGCCTGTCACTCTGTTCGTCAACATCGGTATAACGTTATTAAAGTCAAGGGTGCGTCATACGATATCCATAATGTTTATGGATAGTATTGATATCTATAAGAGAAATATATTTGTCGATTTTGTATGAAAAAAGGAGGAACATTTTTGTAAAATATAAAAAATAATCACAAATTTCGAGAAATATCTTTTTGAGCTAGAAATTCAATGGAAAATAATAACAGATTCCGGACATTTGAAATTTGCTGCATGTGAAAATGTGGTTAAAACTTTTTAATTTTTTTTAATTTTAAATTAAGAAATTATTATTTCATCTTTGTGTGCAATGATTTTCAACAATTATTTATATTCAGGTATAATATGAAATATAGATTGATTCCCAGTGTCAAATTTTCGATTAAACATCTGAATAAAAAAAAAACTGACAAATATGAATAAACTCTTTCTGTTCTAACTATATATAGGGTCTATATCAAACTTGTGCATTGCGGTATTCTAAATTGGTTATCGGTGTCCAATTTGTGGTAAAAACTGAGCTTTTATGTGAAAAAAAACCATGAAATTTGAAAATAATCTTTTTGTGTTAGCATTTTTAACTAAAATTTAAACACAGTTATTATATGCCATTTTGAAATGATGTTGCCAAATAAAAACTGCATAGATTGCCATTTTCGAAATGACCGTTAAAAAATATGAACAATCTCGTAGAATAAATTTAGTATATAAAAATAACATATCCCGAAAAATTTCCCGGTTTAAATTTGTTGTGTTTCAACGTTTCAATGCCATGCAATGTCCAAATAGCGGCGTTGGAAACAATGAACGACACGATTAAAAGAAAGTCCTGCCTTTATTGTATTGCATACGCTAAGCTAGATTATTTACGTTCGAGCTGGAAAAAAAAGTGTTATCAGTTCGTATTAGATAGTGTTAGCTATATGACTTTTTCCTGTTCGCTTTTTTGTTGAGAGATGATCCGTTAGGCTATGATAGTTTAATACTA